TTCAGACTAAAACATGCACTTCCCGAAATAATACATATAGACCAATCTTACTGCGTACCCGGTAGACAAATTTTTGACAATATTAATCTTGTGCGTGATGTAATTTCATACTCAAATCTCACCAACACACCACTTGCAGTCGTCGCCTTGGACCAACAAAAGGCCTTTGATCGGGTTCACCATGAATATTTATTCAAATCACTGCAGTCATTCGGCTTTGGTGGTAATTTTATTAAATACATTCGTTTAATTTACTCTGCCACACAAAGTCTGGTACGGATGAATGACTCCCTCACAAGTCCTGTTAGTTTTCTTCGAGGTATTCGTCAAAGATGCTCTTTGTCTGGTCAGCTGTACATCATTGTCATAGAACCACTCCTACATAAAATAAGAACAAGTCAAATTCAAGGTATTAAGATACAAAATTCCGGTGACAAGCGAATCCATCTTTCAGCATACGCTGATGACATTAGCTTTTTTATAACAAACAACAGTGATTTTTATAAACTGAGTCACTGGTTAAGCGTATATGAAAATGCAAGCAATGCTTGCATTAACTATACCAAATCCCAGGGTCTATGGGTTGGTAGCTGGAAATCACGCACTGATACACCACTCAACATTAGCTGGAATAATGAAGGTTTAAAGGTTCTCGGCGTGTATATTGGAAATAATTCTGCGTTCTTTGATAAAAACTGGATAGAAGTGGTCAACAATACCAGAGCCAAACTTGAGTGGTGATTGATTCATAAATTTGTGAATTTGTTTCCTTATGTCCGCCCAACAAGATCATTGATGAGCTTCAAGAGCTGATTGTAAACTTTTTTAGAATGGTCGACACTGGATTCGTAAAGAAATTGTTTATCTCCCAGTCAGAGCGGGTGGCCAAGGATAGATTGACCTCCATACTCGCATATCTTGTTACTGCCTAAATTACATTCAACGATATTTGTACTCTGGTCTTAACCACCCCTGCTACACTCTCACTAATTATTACCTGCAACAGATACAACAACTTAATTATGACAAACAAATACATTTGTATTTGTAATCATCCCTCCAGAAACTACCACTAATACCCCAATGTTTTATCGCGACTTGTTGCGCATATGGCATTCAGTATCAATAGTTTGAAAATGCAGGCCAGACATTTTTAAAAAGATCTGCCAAGAATCCCTCTTTTAAAACCTGTTAATTTTGCATCACCTACAAAGAACACCGTTAAAACTGGTGCACTTCAAAGAAGCCGGAATTACTAAGATTGGAGACTTGATTGATGACAGTGGCTGGTTAGAGCCCGAATACATTCACTGCCTTGTGCCCATATATTCAAAGTGAATTTTAGATATGACTCTTGATGTGGTAAAAAGAGCAATTTCGTTAGAATGAAAACATACTCTTAATGGCGGACCTAAGCCGGACGACCCGAAATTGCTCAATACATATCATTGTGAGATTATATATAGAGCTGATGACCAGGGAGTGCTTTTAAATTATCCTCTATATAAACTTGAAAAGGGTTCGCTCTATAAATTTCTAGTATCCCTAGAAAATATAACAACTAATGAAAATCCACTTCATGGTATAGTTTGGACAGATATTATGTCCCTTCCACCAGATATAAAACCAAATTTGATAGATACGTATGTAACACCAATCCTTAAAAAAGACGGAGACCTACAGTGGCGATTATTATACAGAGCCTATCCAACAGGTGGCTTTCTACGAAAATCCTACATTCGTAATTCAGATAAATGTCCATACTGCAATGATAAAGATGATTTGTTGATAGTGCCCTTGGCTGTTACCTTTGTTTAAAGCACTCAATAATGTAATATCAGTATTGCTTGAAATAGATCGTATTCCTAATCACTGGTACTGCCACCCACATGACACAGTATAACAAGTTAAAAGAAATAGAGCCAACCGATGTACTAGAGTGCTTCAAAACAAGAGTAAGGACAAGAATAACGCCTGAATTCAAGTTTCACCTACTGCATAATTCCATTGAAACATTCAAGATGAAGTTCTGCGAAAACAACGCCATCGCCGACTAAGTAGGAGACCGTCTTCTGTTCGCTGATGCAATAACCTAACGACTACCTGTAAGATATGGAATATGGAAAACATTAATGAACAATATTATATATCACTCTACGTCTGCTTTTTAAACTTTATCTGAAATAATGAACTGATCAAACTTTTAACTGTAACGTTTTTCAAGCTTTCTGAGCATCGATATATAATAACGAAATACTTGTACATTATAATAATAATATAATTTATTTCGAGTACTAGCTCATATAAACATAACCAAAGTTACACAAAAATAAGAATAAATACCAAGAAAATGTACATAATAAATATGTTAAAAAACATGGCTCAGCCAAGTACTCAAAAGCGTACTACATTTTATTACATCTGGACTATAAATAGCTGTAATTATTGCATTCTTAGTTTTTATAATTCTTAAAAAGAAGTTCGCCATTTCTTTTCTACAAAGAGCTTCAAAAGTAGTGACACGATTATGTACAAGGGTTTGAGTCTTACTAATATCCCTCTTGC